GAGCAAAAGTTGCAAAGTTCGCGTTAAATTCCTGCAGCTTAATAATATGGCCATTCCAGCCGTGCACATGCTATGGAACTTCTTGTGAATCAGACTTCAAATCATATGAAGGTAAATAGGAACCATTATCTTCGTAGTCCAATGGGAGACTTTACTTTTTCACATTTATTTGCGACTCCGCCATCCCCCTTTTATAAGATGCAGGTGAAAATGATGTCGTATATACGTGCGTCCAATGAAACCTATGGCAGGAAGGAATACCCCTTATCTCGGATGACTGATGACCTTTAAAATAAGACCGTAGCGGCATAAGTTTACTTTGTCTAAGTCCTCCTACCTGCATGTTGTTGAATGTACAGCAATGGCAGAAATAGGGGCGAAGAGCTGTAATTTCTACACTACTCAACTCAGTGCTCACCACTCTAATGTGCTCGCAGCTACCGTTAGAAATGTATGCGCTATTTCACTGCCCCACTCTATAGAACTCATGCTAGATTCTGTATCTAGATGCCATAAGGTATATTTGTCCGGAATCCTGTCTCAGAAATAATATAATCCTGTTAACTGAGTCGAGGAAAACGCCTGCCGCCGGCGCCTCCTTCACCAAAGGCCTGGCGCTGGTATCAGGCTTTTCCATAGAAACAGTTACCGTCAACCGTTTTAGATAGGATCGACATTTTCTGACCATAAATCTGTATCCCATACACATTGTGACCAGATCCGAGCCATCAATGCTTCATGCTTCACACCGTAACTAGCCTTGCCGTTCTTCTCCTACTTCATTGGCCGCATCCACTCAGTGGGGGCTACATCGGTATGGTGAACATGAGTCGGCAACTCACTGTAGTCGTCTTTGCTAACTATCACACAGATGACTTCAGGCTTATCATCGACATTGTATTAAAAGACGCGCTTTGATGGTATTAATAGAGGCACGCTTGGTGGTTAGAAAATATGGGTATTGGTGTTCTGATGCGTACGCCAGCTTGTTAAAGGCACGATTTGCAGTAGTGTAATGCAAAACCTTTTCGAGGTACAGAGCATGGGACGCGATCGCCAAGGCCTATCAAATGCAACACTCGAACAATGTAGCCCACGCACAGGTTGGGCCCATGCCCCTGCACGTTGTTCGTTCTGTTGTTTCGTTGTCGTATTGCGTCCATCATCGTAATAATGCCACTGTGCTATCTCGCCTGTCGTCTTCTGGCCTCTTTCCAACGGGCCTCTGCGAGTTCGAGTTTCGATAGGGTAGGAAAATGGTGCCAAAAATTCTCTGTTTCGACCACTTGAGAGAAACAACTGGCACAAGTGGAAACAGAAAAAAACCAGGGCTTCCGTCTCATAGGGACAGACTTCTCAATCCAAGAATGTTGAGGACATGCCATCTTGGTGGAGAAGTTTCGAATAAGAAAAAGCGCTGTTACTCATGGGTCAAACCAGTATTCTCGCACCTTATAAATACGTGAAGGAAGCGCCACCCGCTCGCGACAATTTAAGGCTCCGTTCTCCGTTTGCTGGCTACGGGGACCCCCTACAGTAATTTTTGGCTACTGGGGTTGTTCCGCTACTAACCCTCTGCATTTCGAATGTTGAGAATTATTTGGTAAGGGAAAAGGGCTGGTATCAGCAATGAAGTTTCGTCCAACCGGGCCCTTCTTCGCCATGCATGTACAAGCGCGGTTTTTTACGTGAGGGTCTATATGGGGCATTTCCGGCAGTTCTTGAGGCCTCATTCTTCACTTTCTTTTCATTTGCCATCTGGTCACTAAGGTTTGAGTCGCAAAAATGACCACTTTGAACGCAGTGGGTGTTTCTGTAGTGTGAGTACCATTATATAAACACATTTCAGGAAATCTTAAGCATACAGACTTTGCGTTATTTGTAGCCGTAACAGGTGATGGGTGCTACAATGCTACGCTTGCCTTTGCTTCTCACTGTAGCATAGATCCGAAAACACGCAGGTAATTTCCCTATACTCTGATAACTTTTATCCAGAACCTATTATTGTAAAGAGAGAATAAACAGGGGCAGAGAGTACAATCAAAGCGGATGTCTAGCAGCGTGGCAGGACACCTGGGGATCCGAATCAAATATGGCTGTATAAGTACTGGTACTGCTAAGTAATCTCTTTGAAATTCTCTCCACCTCACGAGAAAGTGAAGTCATTTATCGTCATAGTCGTCATGTAACTCAACAAGGCTATTGAACTTCATGAAGGAGACCCATGATTTTCGAAGTGGTTTCTTTCAAAAGCACATTCCTGAAGAGGAGACTGTCAACTTCTCTGGTTGAGGAAGACAGCGTCAATCTGTTTGGATAACAATGGTCGGAACTTGTTTTCAGTGTCCGGGCGCTGAAACTTGATGTATTTCGCATTCACGGTGGGAAGTGTCCCAGGCGCGTCAATCTGAAACCTTTTGGACATACAGGGATTGAGACCTGTGTCGGAAGCAAATGCCCAAAGTGAACATGTGCACCGTCAATCCGCGCTGACCAAGGTGTGGGGTTGATTTTGTCACTGGGGTCGCCCACAATTTAATTCGGCAATGTACCTAGTTGCTATGAACGACACTTCACAACTCAACACTCTTTCGATAGTGTCAATAGGAGAGGCCCACTGAATACCGCTCTATAATCTTCACTTTAGGACTTGGGATTGAGGGCATGTGCTCATATTCAGCTGTTTATTTTAGAACCATGGCTAGTCCAATTTCAGGCCTATATCCGGCTACATGAATATTTGTCCGATTGCGTTCAACGCAATCCAGCATAACGAAATGCATCAGTGGTTGTCAACGATTAAACACGAACTGATTCACGCATTTGTGTTTTCACCGTCACACTTTCAGAAGTTTGTCGGCGCACAGAATGCTACACAGTAGGTGGAACTTTTTCCATTTGAACTCCAGTGTCCCCGATTTCGAAGTCCGCGGATTACGCAATATTGGTCACGGTGCATATCATTTGGGTAGGAGTTTCTTCTGATCACAAACAAATTAGCCTGTGCAGTGTAAAGTAATGGATCTAGGAGGTGCAAAACACTTGTAAATATAACATTTGCAAAGGGTGACATCCGGTGAGTGAAGTGGTTGGCACCAATTTCTTAATAAACCAACACCCACTCATAAGGTGCACTTTGCTCATGGCTTGATAACTTTCTCCTACAATGGTCTTACCACACAAGTGGAAGATGGTGTTCCGCTGTGATGCCACCGAAAGCATCCTCTTATCGCCTGAGTTCCGTTCCCTAGAGTCCCTTGGTCCTGATGAATATTTATTTCTTCTGTTAACTCGACACAAGCTTGTTAGACACATCAACCGGCCGACTTTTCAGCGGGCTTGCTTTTTTAGAGTCAGGAAATTGGGAATAGAGTTACGATTCGGGCGATGAAATGTTTTACCACCTTACGATACCCACTAGTTCAACACATATTTGATAGGAAAATCATGTACCGTAAGTTCAAGGTCACGAGATCAGCCGCGTTTGACGGTTTAGTGATTTGTCGTTCACGGCTCCGGTAGGAAAGCTAACCGTATATAGTGGATCAGCTCCCGCTTACTTTACACGCTTTCCACCCTGTGATTCATCTTTGGATGGACCCGATAAAAATGCCCTCAGTGTTTTTGCTCGGATGCTTGAGTTTAATGCGCAACGAGACTGATGATGATAATCTCAGAACCTTTTCTGTTATCAGTTTCGACCTTGTAGCAACCAAGAGCTGTCGAGGTACGGACCTGGCCTTTCCATCCAAATGCTTCTCTAACCCGCACTTGAAGAGGTCTAGCCGTCTCACCCAGATGATTGCCTTCCAAATGCCCTTCATAATTCTGCAGGAGGTCGCCGGTCTCAGGCCTGTGCTGCCAGTGGGATCGACTAGGCGGTCCGGTGTCTAACATTCTCCACTTGCGATTCGAATTCGACGTCGCTAAAGGTTTTGAGAGGGGACACGTATTCAAACACTGTTTTCCACACCCGGCGTTCTCAACACTTCCTTCATGAAAGTGTTTAACTCATCGGGGCATGAAGGGTACTGCAAAGGGTATTTTGCCCTCAAGAAGTTTCCGCACCAATTGGTACCGTCCTATGCAACGCTGTGATGTGATAACCAGCAAGTTCTTTTTGTGATTAACTGAGAGCGAGGGATCGAAAAATCGTTCGTCCCTTAACTCAGCAATGTTTGTCTACTTCACCAAAGCTCTGGGTCACATGTTTCGAAATGACACTGCTCGAGACCCTGAAGCTTTTTGAATTTCCTATCTTCTTGTAGCTCTGACCTAGCACTTTTTGACTACCATCTAAACTAATCCCACAGCGGCCATCTTCTGGGTAAAAAATACCGATTCACGGAATTAGTCGGAAATGACCTTCCTGCCTTTCTCTGCACGGGACCAAAAAAGCTTCTGGAAGCAAGGTAATCACTCCTTGCCTGGTGGACGACAACAAGTTACCGATAAGGGTAATAGTTATATATGTGTGTGATTAGAATGACTTGTCTACGGTGACATAACTTGCACGCCGGAAACAAAAATAAAACATCTGCTTAACACACTGTGACCAAATGGTGCGCAATTATAAGCCAGCAGGTAGACGTGTTTCCATTTTGCGTGGAGCGAAAATGCCAAACAATACACAGAAACGCTCGCTAGGCAACAGCTTCAAACCAAACATCCTTGAGCCAATAACGGGAAAAGTAGTGAAGAAAACGAAAGGAAAAAAATCAAGAAAAATTCCCGAAATGAAACGAGCTCGAAACACTTGCTCAACTAGCAGCAAGAAGTGGCATTGGCAGCATCAGTAAACACAAAGAGAAGAGAGTTACTGTCGCTTTTTAGCCAGTCGGTCGCTAGACATCTCCATACAGGAATTTTCAAAAAGGCAGTTTAGTAAAATCGAAGTACAAGAATGACCGCCTGAGCGGATCGGCTTCGCTAGTTTCAGACTTTAGAGGGACGAGTCGGCATGCTGAAAAGTAATGCACGGTTAGCCTGGCGTGAGCAGCGCAACATCCGCAACCAGTTGTTCCGTTCTGGCGAAGAATCCCTTCTGAAGCAAATTTTTTAATTCGCAATGTACTCTTCGAGTTTGTTCGAAAAGTTGCCTTCACCCTGTCATTTCTCTGAACTGTCTCGTTCATTCAAAATACATCTATATTCAGGAAGGAACCCATATATATAATACCAGGTGTTCTAGAAAAATTCACGCGCCATGACTGGGAAACTGCACATGGAGTAGTGAGTCTCAAAAAGCTAAATACTAAAAACATTACGAATACGCTCCAACAACTTCAACTATTCTATATTGCTATTCTGCAACAAATCTTTTCTGACCGAGCGATAGTTCCGATTGTTGAAGAAGCTAGAACACCACCGACACTATCAGTTAAGCGCGTTCCAGTTCGTGTCAAGGTCGTCACGATATTGTCACGATACACACGCGTCAGGACATAACCAAAGCGGCGTCACGGTGTTGCAAAGCGCCAAGCCAAGTGCCTGAAGTTCTGGCGGCATTGATCCACTATTGGCTGCTCCAGAAACTCAAGACAAGTCTTTGATGAAACTCAGCCTACAAAGATATTCAGTACCCGGTCACGAATATGACATTCGTTTTTCGGCACCACTTGGCGCTCTGCTGTGAGGGAGTAAGCCTGACTCTCTTTTCGCCAGATTCAGAATGTCATGCTTGTAAACAGGGTGCCAAATGATCCTAGCATGTAAGTTTGTAAGTTTATATAATTTTTGCTGAAGAAGGTAGTGGCAACTATTTGGCGCCTGTTACTGTCAAATAGAGCCAACGCCAAAATGGAATATAGTGATAGTGACAGTATTCGTGGTCGGGATCTCTACTCCCAAAAACAAGTTCGCAGTAAATTTGTTGGAAGAAGCGGTGGCGCTAGTTCGGCGAATATTGGCATCAGTTGGCACTAGCTCCAGAAAAAGGATGTGTGGAGAACAGGGGATAGCAGGCCGATGCCGGAGAGACTTGGTCAAAAAGGCTAGAAGGCCTCATGGAAGGGGGCCTAAATTAACAGAAGGGGTATTGCTGTTGTTTCAGTGCGCTACCCGTCTGGAATACCCGTCGTCGTCAAGAGAAGGGTCCCATTACAAAACCAACGTGTCTACAACCTCTTCTAGTCTCTTCTTCCTATCACTGATATTGATCTTTTCCTGTTTTGTTCTATCATAGATTTTTGGGTGCTTGTGTATTTACCATAGAGTTCTGTGACACCAATCGGGGGCTCATGCTACAGATGGCATATTGGTGATCAGGGCACTGAACAACCTCTAGGCAAAGTTACACCGGAAACGTTCTCAGTTTCTGGAGTCAAAATAGTGAAATGATACCGGCTACTGCTTAGTCTGCACGTCATTCGTCCGGTCCGTCCTAAACGACGCCACTGGGAGGATGCACCATTCAGAGTATACTTTGCTTTCTCTAAGCATGTCTCAATGGCTGAAATCATAGCCTGCTTCCACAGGGCTCCAGGAAACAGAGTACGGCATCGGATTTGGCAGTGGTGGAACAACACACCACACAAAAAACTTCCTCTTTCGGAACGACTTTCCCTTCCTCATTTTACCTACCATCTTCTCGATCCTTGCAACTGCGCAGCAATTTTCGAGAAGAACTGGGATCAGGGGAAGGGATATGGACTCTGCACCATTTAGGCACGTACACGGTGTATGCCTCATTACTTAGCCGATATGACTTATTAACCTTTTCTGGTGAAAGTTTGGCTGATCGCTGATCCCCATTGTAACACCACTTTTGAATGCACCATGTGCGGTGGCTCTCAGGAGGGAGGCTCTCAAAATCAAATA